AAATAAATGGAGAAAAAAAAATAGTGATTACATTAATATATTTTCCATCCTTTAACTTTTACCCAACTTTCACAAACATCTTCATTTTTAAAATGGGATTGTTTTAGAAAATATAATGTTGTTTTGTATTTTTATGTAACTGGACAATTTCTGTCTTAATGGAAGCATTTAGATCATGGACATGAAAATAAATTTATAGACATGCATTTAAGTCAACTGACTTTCTAGTTGTTTTCCATGTTTCATTTTTCTTATTCCTAACTTTCCTTTTTTTCTGCCTGATGGTGGATTTAGTATTTTTATCATTCAGTTATATTTTCTAAACTCTTGGCTTATTACTTAGGTCACTTAAAAAAAATAGTGCTTGTTCTAGGGTTAACAAAGTTAATATTTAATTCATCACACTCTATCCTCAAAGAATATTGTACTAGTTAATGTACAGTTAAAACATCTTATGATAGTATGCTTACACTTCACTTCATTCTTTATCATATTTTTATTACTTTTAGTAAAGTTGTAATCCCCATACACATGTGTTTACACTATGAATTATTTGTGGCTGATCAATAAAACAATAAAATGCCCTCTGTGTGGACCTCGAAAATTGGATACATATCTCAGGCAATTTTGAAAGTTATTATAGCCAAGGGTGAGGGTGCGCACCCATGACATGGCCTCAGGAGGTACTGGTGACATGTGTCCAAGGTGGTCTGAGCACAGCTTGGTTTTTATATTTAAGAAGACACCAGACATGGAGCAACATATGTAAGTGAACATTTCTTAAGTCTGGTCTGGAAAGGATGGATAACTTGAAGGAAAAGTGAAACGTCTAAAAGGGGATAGAAGGCTTCCCTGTCACAGGTAGGTGACAGACAGACTATAGCATTTTTTGACTTACTGATTAACCCTTCCAAAGGAGGCAGTCAGATATGCATTTATCTCAGTGAGCAGAGGAATGACAATGAATAGACTAGGAGCCTGGGTTATCTTAAGCAGTTCGCAGCTTGAATTTTCCTTAACTTAGTGATTTGGGGGCCGAGATATTTCCCTTTCACATCCACATCTATATCTTTACCATTATCTGGGTTTGTAATTCATTTGTGTAAATTCACATTTCTGCCTGTTTTCTGCCTGAGAAAATGTGTTAACATATCTAGTAATGCATTTCTACTGGGGTGAATAATCGAAATCTTATTTGTCTGAAAAAATTATGTCATTTTTGTGTTTATTATAGTAATAACTGTAAGCCCACCGGAAGAAATATTTCTCTCTCAAAATAGTTTTCTATTTTCTAGCAAAACCATTTGTTACAGTTCCTGTCTCAGTGCTGAAATTCCTTATTTGCTCATCCCTGATGTCTACTTTGTCCAACAGTGATATGGTTTGCATCTATGTTCCCACCCACATCTCATATTGAATTGTAATCCCCAATGTTGGAGGTGGCGCCTGGTGGGAGGTTTTTGGGTCATGGGAGTAGAATTCTTAGATATGGTCTAGCACCACCTGTGTGGTGCTATTCTCTTGATAGTGAGTTCTCATGAAAAGTGATTGTTAAAATGTATGTAGGAACTCGCCGATCTCTTCATCCTGTTCTGGCCATGTGAGGAGCTAGGTCCTCCCTTGCCTCTTGGATATTTGAAAGTTAAATGAGGCCCTCCTTGCCATGCATCCTGTACAGCCTATAAAACCTGAGCCATTTACAGATACCTAAAAATGTGGAACCAGCTTTTGCACTGGGTAGTAGGCAGAGGTTGAAAGAGTTTGGAGGGCTCATAGGAAGACGGAAAGATGAAGGAAATGTTGAAACTTCCTAAAGACTTGTTTAATGGGTTGTCACTAGGTGGCTGATATGAACACTGAACACCAGGCTGAGGAGGTCACAGATAGAAATTAGGAACTTACTTGGAAATGGAGTAAAGGTCACCTTTGTTATAGATTAGAAAAACTATGGTGGCATTGTGGCTCTGCCCTAGGGATTTGGGAACTTCTGAACTTGAGAGTGATGGTTTCGTGTTTCTGGCAGAAGAAATTCCTATGCAGCACAGCATTCAAGGTCGAGCCTCGTTGCTTCTAATAGCCCATGCTCATGTGTGTCAACAACAACAACAAAAATGATGGAAACTGGCACTTATATTTAAAAGGAAAGCAGCGTGTAAAGGTTTTGAAAATTTGCAGTCTGGCCACAGAAAACAGGAAACAAAATCCTGTTTGCTGGGGAGGAATTCAAACCAGCTGAAGAAATCTGCTTAAGTTACAAGGAGCTGAATGTTAATGTCCAAGACAATGGGGAGGCCTCAAAGGCATTTCAGAGACCTCTGCAGCAGCCCCTCCTTCCATCACAGGACATGAAGCCTAGGAGGGGAGAATGTTTTCATGGGCCACACACAGGGTCCCAGTGCCCTGTGCAGTGTCTGGATACAGCTCTCAATATCCTGGCCACTCCAGCACCTCTTATACATGCTTCAGCCACTGGTTCATGAGGTGCAAACCATGATCCTTGGTGGCTTCCACTTTGTGTTAAGCCTGTGGGTACACAGGGAAAGAGTTGAGGCTTGGGAGCCTCAGCCTAGATTTCTGAGAATGTATGAAGAAGCATGGATGTCCAAGCAGAATTCTGCTACAGGGGTGGATTCCTACTGGAGAATCTTGTCTAGGGCAGTGCAGAGGGGAAATGTGGGGTTAGAGCACCAACACAGAGTCCACACTGGAGAACTTCCCAGTGGAGTTGTGAGAAGAGGGCCACCATCCTCCAGACCCCAGAATGGGAGATCCACTCACAGCTTGTAATTGTGCCTGGAAAAGGCATAGGTACTCAGTGCCAGCCAACTGGGGACTGAATCCTGTAAAGTCACAGGGTTAGAGCTGCCGGAGGCTTTGTGAGCCCACCCCTTGCACCAGTGTGCCCTGGATGTGAAACACTGAATTGAAGGAGGCCATTTGGAGCTTTAAGATTCAATGACTTTCCTTCTGGGTTTCAAATTTTCGCAGGACCTTAAGCTCCTTTCTATTGGCTGATTTCTCCAGAGAATATACCCAGTGCTTCTACCTCCATTGTATCTTAGAAGTAATTAACTTGTTTCTTGTTTTATAGGCTGTTCGGCAGAAGGAATTAGCCTTGTCTCAGATGAGACCTTGATTTAGGACTTTTCGTTAATGCGTCAATGAGTTGCAACTTTGGGGGACTGTTAGGTTTTATTTTGCAAAGTGGGAAGGATGTGAGATTTGGGAGGGGCAAGGGCAGAAATACAAGGTTTAGATCTGTGTCCCTACCCAAATCTCAGGTTGCACTGTAATTCTCAGTGTTGGAGGTGGGGCCTGGTGTGAAGTTATTGGATCATAGGGTTGGAATTATGGTGGAAATAAATACTGGGGAAAACCACTATTTAAAATTATATATTTTAGTAAATCGGAGAGAAAGTATGAAAGACTTAGAAAACATTTAAAATAGTTAAAATGCTAAAAAATCAAGTTAAATATCAGTCAGTAAAAAATTGTATGAAGGATAAAAGATGGCACTGAAAATCATGTTTCAAAATTATTTACTACGCTACTCAGTGTTAAAATATTCATGATGCATTATTTGAAATCGTTTATAAAGGAATGGTACAAAATTGTTGAACCCAACCTGAAACCAAAGTAGAAATACAGATAAATGTGTGGAAAGATCTATATTAAATCTTATCAAATGCTGTGTCCACATTGTGATCTTACTGGTATTATGGTATGATTTCATTACTGCTATTCATATATTTCATAGCTTTTATGTGTTTTACAAGTTGTTCTATAATATATAGGAATTAGGCTCTTGGTCAGAATAAAAGAGATATCAACAGAAATGTATTTCTGTTTCACAGAATTCTGATATTAGAATAACTTGGAAAAGTGTAGAATTTGTTTTCTAGGTTTTTTTCCTCCTTTAAGCTCTGTATCTATATATAGTCAGCCTGTTCAGTTAGAGTTCTTGCCTTTCCATGTTCCTGACTCCTAACCATAATAAATGTTAATTTGTTTTAAATTATGAGGATAAATGAAGACATTCACATTACCTATGTGACAAAATTATACTATAGCAAGGAAGGTCCAGAATGAATACATAACCATTAAACTAGGTGTATCCATCTGCTAGGACCACAAGACAGATCAAACCAGATTCAAAACATGCTGACAGAACTGACATTTTATTAAAAAACACAGATAATTTTTAAAAGTGACTAGGAAACATCTTAGTGTACACAGTAGTACTAAATTCTATGTAGTTACTTATAATGGATATATGTATTTATCACATTATTAAATTACATATATTTTTAGTATTCTGTAGTGTGCCTTTTTTGTGTCAGTGGTCTTATTTGAAGGCATATTTTAATTTTTTGAAAGTCTAATCAACTTATATTTAATCAATTTTATATTTTGATACCATATATAATAATTTAATGGTCAAAAATATTTTCTCTTTTTTTCATGTAAAATTTGATAGTTTGACATTTTGGCCTAAGGTTGTGTTAATTTCTGTTTGAAATATGGATCAAAGTTCATATTATTCATAGGAATATCACATTTCCCAGCATCTTGTTGTTTAAATACTATTATCTTCATTAGATTGACTTATAGCTTAGCTAAAATGAATTGAAGACAGGTATGGATATTTCTGGTTCTTGTATTCTATTGGTCCATTCTTTCTTTAGAAGCACAGTACATTGGCTAATCTAGTTATGCAGTAAATATGGAAAACAGAAGTGTGAATTCTCCAACTTTGTGATTCTCTTTCAGATGGTTTTGCATATTCTAGCTTATTTGCCTTTTATATCAGCTTTAGAATCATCATGCTATTATCTGCAAATATTTTTCTTAGACATTGGTTCGAATTGTATGATCTCTGTAGATCAATAGAAATTTATAAATCTATAGATTTGAATCCTTAAATACATAAATATAATACTTTCCATTTAATAAGTAATTGTTTGATTTTCTTCATCTATTTATAGTCTTAGAATACAGATGTTTTTTATTTTATAATGATATCATAACGTATTGCCACAAATTTAGTTGTTTACAACAACACAAATTTATTATATTAGAGGCCACAGGTCAGAAATGTAAATTAGGTTTATCTTGACTAAAATTAAGGCATTGGCATGGCTTTGTTCTTTCCTGTGGATCTAGAGGAGAGCGTACTTGATTGTGTATTTTAGATTCTAGTTGCTTTCTCCATTCTTTGTCTCATGGACTTTGTCACCACCTCTAGTCAACACTATTGCATTTTCCAATGTTTCTCTTATTCAAACCACCTTGCTCCTACTTATAGGGCCCTTGTGATTATGTTGGGCTCACCTACATAATCAGGATAATCGAAATCTAAAAATATATAATTTAATCATACCTGCTAATTTCCTTCTACGTTAAAATGCTATATTTACAAGTTGAGGGGTTACTCTGTAAACACCGTTTTTGGCAGGGGTAGGGTTTTATTCTGCCTACCACACAGATCTTGTAATTTTTCCATCGAGTTTCACCTAAATATTTTATGCTTATATTATTTTGTGTTTCACTTAGCTTAAATTAATCGTTGCATAATATATACAAATACAAAACCTCTTGCTATACACCTTAAATACATACAATTTTTATATCACATAAACCTTAATAAATGGGAATAAAAAAGGCTGAATAATGTAAACCAATATTTCAGTGAAGGAAAAACCATAAATGCCAGTGAATATGCTACTCTTGGAGAAATCATAAAAGTGATATGATAACAACTAAATTCTCTTACTTTTTTTTCATTTTAGGATATCATTTAAAGGTATCTAAGTAAACATGCATTCACTACAATACAGTTTCAGAAATTATATACTAAAAAGAGTTATCACTTTGGAAAATTCTATGTATGTACAGTATTTCCAACTGACAGAATTTTTTTACTGTTCAGAATGCTGCCCTCCCCACCAAAAAACAATATTCTATGTATTTTGTTAGTACAGTTGTTTTCATCATAGGAAAGATACTTCAACTGATTTTTTGTTTTTTTTTTTTTACTTAGTCATTAATTGTTTTTACTTTCAGCCATTAATACAGATTCATACATTCTGAATCTAAAAAAAAAAAAAAAAAGACTAAAATCCTGCCTTCAACCAAACAGTAATTGTTTTTTATAGTTTCTCCCTTTTGATGTATATGCAGTAGCCTCTGTTTCAGGTGGAATTGAATTGTATTAATAACTTACTACTTATCGCTTTTTTACACATTTCCAAAATGTAAGTAGCTTATTTATAACCTATTTCCCAAACATGCATACTAGTTTTATGCTGCAGATGGCCTCACACAGTCTGGCACTTCTCTTTCTCATGATTGCGTGCTCTCTCTCAACCACGCCTTCTCTCTCTCTCTCTCTCTCTCTCTCTCTCTCTCTGATTGTGTGTATTTCTGTGTGTATTTCTCTCTCTGTGTGTGTGTGTGTGTGTGTGTGTGTGTGTGTGTGTGTGTGTATTTCGCTCAGTTAGGTGAAGAGTCAAGAAGTGTCCCCACAAGCAAGCGGGGAGAGAAGTCTAGGAGATATCTCTTGAGTATCAACGCTATCATACATTTCCAATCTTAAAATACATTCTTTCAAAAGGGAGAAAAACAGGTAATGAAAAAGAGTGAAATATTCCTGGGTGGACTATGCTTAACCCTTTATCCATTGGTGATGCACAACTTTGAAAGGATTTTAAAAGTCAATCAGAAAATCTTTTAGTCTTTGAGAGAAAATGGACACTGTGGATCAGCAGTGAAAGTACCTAAGAGGCTGGAGAGTTTTGGGGAGCTCTAAAGGAGGAGCCTTGCAAATGATGACTAGTTGATAGGTGAGAAAAGTTTAGAGAATTTGGGAATCTGGAGTAAAACCTCTCAGCTGACGAACAATGGCTGGGGCCTCTATACAATATATTTCTCATTTGAGCCAAGTCTCATTTGGCAAAAATATAAAATTCTTGAAGAACCTGAGTGGATGTGTTTTCTCAGGAGTTCAGTGTTCCTGTGTATAGTTTCCTAGATGGCCCAAAAAATTCCTTGAAGTAGCCCAGGACTGAAGAGTGGGTGCACAGGACCCAAAACAGGCATCACTGTGCTTGCAGCTACAGCCCCATCCCCAGGGACACCACGTGCGCAGTACATGCTGTACATTACTCTTTCAAGAAGGTGGCATTCATATATTAGTTCACATGAATGGCCCCTTCTTGTAAGGGCACTGCACGCTGGATGGCTGGATGTGGCATCCCAGACCAAACGCTCCCCATTCATGGAGTTTTCATTCAAGTCCCTGTAGGTGTATGCCTTTGCATGGCCACCAAAATGTATGCCAAGAAACTATGGAACTTCTAGCCCCCCGCACTCACCTTTCCATCCTGCCCTAAATGAGATGTGAACATGCAGATTTTAGTTTTGTTTTGTTGTAATCTTGGCCACTCAGGAGGCTGACGCAGGAGACTCCCTTGAATCTAGGAGGCTGATGTTTCAGTGAGCAGAGATTACACCACTCTATTCCCACATGAATTTCAAACTGAGACCCTGTCTCAAAGAAACAAAAGTAAAAACAAACAGAAAAAAAAAATTAATTACTGGTTAAATGGAAAGGACCAACCAGTCAACAAAGCTTTCTGTTATCCAAAACTCCAGCTGGGATGCACAGACCTAAGTCCAACAGAAAAAACATTGAATACCACAACCTAGATGCAAAGAAGTGGAGAAGAGTCAGAGGGTACCAGGTTGGAGAGAGCAGAAATTTCATTTATTTTTCAGGCTATGGAGTCACAAGACCCACAGACATTAATATAACAGAAAATTAAGACAGATAACGTGCTGGAAGACAAGAAGTGCTATTTTATTTCTCTTACCTCCATGGTTCTTTATACTTCATTGACTTGTGTTCTCTGACTCTCTTGCTCATTCTCTCTCTCTCTCTCTCTGGCTCTGTGTTATTAACAATTAATAATAGCTCTAAGATCTTGTAGCTGTAAGATTTAGTGATTACATTAACATATTTTCCATACTTTTACCCAACTTTCATGTAGGTCTTCATATTTAAAATGAGTTTGTTTTAGAAAGTACACTGTTGTTTATTTTTATGTAATTTGACAATTTGTCTTAAGCAGTTAGGTCACATATATTAATATAACTTTTTATATACATGCATTAAATTTACTGGCTTTCTACTTGTTTTCTGTGTTTCACCTTTTTCTTATGCCTAATTTTTTCTATTTTTCTGCCTGATGGTGGATTTAGTATTTTTATCATCCAGTTATATTTTATCACTCTTGGCTTATTAGATAAATCACTTTAAAAAAAAAATAGTAGTTGCTGTAGGGTATACAGAGTTCTTATTTAATTCATCACAGTCTATCTTGAAGGAATATTATCCCAGTTTAGGTACGGTGAAAACATAGTGGGTGTACAGTTTACCCATACTCTGTCATATTTTTTTAAATTTTATTAAAGCTCTAATGCTCACATATTTGTTTACACTATGAATTATTACAGACTGATTAATAAAATAATAAATTGTGTCCCTGTGTGAACCCTCAGTATTTGAGACAGGCCTGGAGCAATTCAGAAAGTGAGTTTTGTCCAGTGTGAGGATGCACACCGATGACACAGCTTCAGGAGGTCCTGGTGACAGGTGCCCAAGGTGGTCAGAGCACAGCTTGGTTTTATACATTTTGGGAGATATCAGACATAGATCAACTTATGTAAGATGAACATTTGTTCAGTCTGGTCCCTGGAAAGCAGGGRCTACTTGAAGCAAAAGTGGTACATCTGAAAGTGGGGAGGAGGCTTCCAGGTCACAGGTAGGTGACAGAGGAACARTTGCATTCCTTTGAGTTACTGATTAACCTTTCAAAAGGAGGTAATCAGATACGCATTTATCTCAGTGAGCAGAGGAATGACTGTGAATAGACTGGGAGACCTGTCTTCCCTAAGCAGTTCCCAGCTGGAATTTCCTATTAACTTAGTGATTTGGGGGCCTGAGATACTTCTCTTTCACATTCATATCCTCATCTTTATCATTTTCTTGGATTTTAATTCATTTGTCTAGATTCACCTTTCTGCCTGGTGTTCTCTATGCCTGAGAAAATGCGCTACTGTGTCTGGTAATGCATTTCTACTGGAGTGAATAATCAAAATATTCTTTGTCTGAAAAAAGTATCATGTTATTTGTGTGTTTATTACAGAGATAATTGAAAGCCTATCTAAAGAAATATTTCTCTCTCAAAAGAGTTTGCTTTTTTCTAACATAACCATTTGTTACAGTTCCTGTCTCTGTGCTGAAACACTTCATTTGCTCATTTGAGAAGTCTACTTTTTCCAGTAGTGATAGTGTTTGCATCTGTGTCCCCACCCAAATCTCAGGTTGAATTGTAATCCCCAATGTTGGAGGTGAGGCCTGGTGGGAGCTGACTGGATCATGGGGGTGGAATTCTGGTGGAATTAAATAGTGGAAATACGCCACTACTTAAAATGGAATACTTTAGTACATCTGAGAGAAAGAAGAAAAGACTTAGAAACCATTTAAAACATTGAAAATGCTATAAAATCAAATCAAAAATCAATCAAACAAAAAACTGTATGATAGAATGAAAGATGGCACATAAAATTATGTTTCAAAAGTATTTACTGGATGACTCAGTGTTTTTATAAAACACTGATGTTTCTTTATTTGAAATCATTTATAAGAGAAAGGTAGAAAATTGTTGAACCCAACCTAAAACCTAAGTATAAATGCAGATAAATGTGTGGAAATATCCACATCTAAATTTTATCAAACACTTTATCTACATTATGATATTGCTGGTATGAAGGTATTATTTCAATACTGTCATTCATATTTTCATACCTTTTATGTGTTTTCCAAGTTGTTCTGCAATAAATGCGAATTATGCTCAATGTCAGAAAAAGATACCAACAAAAATGTATTCTTCATTGACAGAATTCTGATACAAGAATAACTTGGAAAAGTGTAAAATTTGTTTTGACAGTTATTTTTCCTCTTTTGAGGTTTTTATATCTATATATAGTCAGCCTGTTCAGTTAGAGTTCTTGCCTTTCCATGTTCTTGACTCCTAACCATAATAAATGTTAATTTATTATAAAGTATGAGGGTAAACTGATACATTCACATTAATGATGTGACAAAATTGTACTATAGCAAGGAAGGTGCAGAATGAATACAAAACCATGAAGCCAAGATTTGTCCTATGCTAGGACTACAACAGGGATCTGAACAGGCTCAAAACATGCTCGTAGAACTGACATTTTGTTGAAAGACAGGTAAGTTTTAAAAATAACTAGTAAAATTCTTAGTAAACACAAGAGCGCTAAATTACATATAGTTATTTATGCTGGATATATGTTATGTATCGCAATATTAAATTACATAGAGTTTAAATATTCTGTAGTTTGCCTTTTATTATCTCAATGCTCTTATTTGAAGACAAATTTTTAGTTTTTCAAAGTCTCTTATCAACTTACTTTTAATTTTATTTTTATATTTTAATATAATAATTCAATGGTCAAAAATGTTTTCTCTAATTTTTTTCATAAAATTTTATAGTTTGACTTTTGCCTAAGGTAGTGTTAATTTCTGTATATGATTGGAAATATGGATCAAGGTTTATATTTTTCATAACTATATCACATTTTATAGCATCTGATTGTTTAAATACTATTATTACTTCATTACACTGTCTTTAAGGCCTAGTCAAAATGAACTGGGGACAGGTATGAATATTTCGGTTCCTTCTATTGTGTTCGTTCATCCTGTCTTCAGAACCACCCTACATTGGCTAATCTAGTTACACTGTACATTTAGGAAATACAAGTGTAAATTTCCCAACTGTGTGATCCTCTTTCAGGTGGTTTTGCATATTCTAGTTTATTTGACCTTATATCAGCTTTAGAATCATCACGCTAATATACACAAATGTTTTCTGAGACATTGGTTGGAATTGCATTAACTCTGTAGATCAATAGAACTCTCTAAATCTATAGATTTAAATCGTTCAATCCATAAATGTGATACTCCTCTCTACTTAATTAGTAATTACTTGATTTTCTTAGTGTATTTACTCTTTTAGTATACAGATGTTTTGGGTTTTCTATTGATACTGTAACAAATTGCCACCAATTTAGTTGTTTACAACAACCCAAATTTATTGCATTAGAGTCTAAATGTCAGACATCTAAAATAGATTTATCTTGCCTGAAATTAAGGTATTGGCAGGGCTTCGTTCCTCCTCTTGGCTTTAGAGGAGAATCTACTTTATTGTCATTTTTAGATTCTCGTTCCTTTCTCCATCTTGGCTCATGGCCTTTACCTCCACCTCTAGTCAAAACCATAGCATTTGCCAGTTTTTCTGTTATTCTAACCACTTTCTTCCAACTCATAATGCCCTTGTGTTTATGTTGGGCGCACTTAGATAAAGTAGGATAATCCCAATCTGAAAATCTTTAATCATATCTGCCAATGTTTTCCCCAATGTAAAATGTGATATTTTTGAGTTCAGGGTTTACTCTGTAAACATCATTTGGAGTGGGGTTATTATTCTGCCTACCACAGAGATCTGGTAATTTTTCTATGCACTTACACTTAAATAGTTTATGTTTATATTATTTTATGTTTCAATTAGCTGATTTAATCATTGCATAACTTATACATATATCAAAACATCATGTTGTACACCTTAAAAATATACAATTGTTACATCAGGTAAACCTTAAGAAATAGGAAGACAATTGGCTTAGTAATACAAAAAAGTCTTTCAAAGAAAAACCATAAATACCAGTGAATATACTATTCCTTTTGAGAAATCATAAATGAGCTGTATCAACTAACTCTTACTTTTCTTTGATTTTAGGCTATCACTTTAAGTTATATAAGTAAACATGTATTCACTGTCATGCAGTTTTAGAAATTATATACTAAAAAGTTATCCCTTTCAAAAATTCTATGTACATACAGTATTTCCAACTGACAGAAAATTTTACTGTTTAGAATGCCGCCCCTCACCTCAAAAAGCAAAGATTTAATATATTCTATTACTACAATTGTTTTCATTATGAAAAAGATATTTCAACAGATTTTTTAATGTTAACATATTAATGGTCTTGTACATATTCATACATTCTTAATCTAAAGAAACATAAACTAAAATCCTGCCTGTAAGGACCTAGAAATTGTTTTTTATAGTTTCTTACTTTTGGTGTATCTGCTGTAGCCTCTCATTCAGTTGGAATCAAAATTGTAGTAATCACTTACTGTTTATAACATTTTTTACACATTTCCATAATATAAGTTGTTTGTTTATTACTTACTTCCCAAACATGCGTACTAGACTAGTTTCATGCTGCAGAGGGTCTCACCCGGTCTGGCACTTGTCTTTCTCTTGAGCATGCTGTCTCTCTCTCTCTCTCTCTCTCTCTCTCTCTCTCTCTCTCTCTCTCT